CCATATTGTACAAAAAATGCCCTGACGCAAAAAACCGAAGTGCTATGCACAGAATGTTTTCTGTGCTAAGCGCAGACCCGCAGTTTGTGACATTTGCAATATGCGGTTTCAAGAGATGTTAAGTAAATTAATGATTCTTTTGAAAACTGATAACGTTTTTTCAAATAATCATTAGGAAATGAAAAGATATCAATACGTGGTCTTATAACTCCCTCCCGGCGAAAAAAAACCTTGTATAATTTGTGCCTTCATGTCCACAGGATCGTCATCAAAAGGGCACGCCATGCTCAGTAACCTTCTGCAACAAACTGACCCTGGAACATAACCTGCTCAGTAGCAGGTTATCTTCAGAGAGTAAGCTGCTATGGTTACGTACATACCCAGAAAGTTAACCTCTGTTTTTGGAACCGAAAGATCAGGTTATCCACTAACTTACCCTTAAACTTACCCGGGTATGTCACATAACCTGCTTTCTGGAATACCCCCCTGGTCTTTCGTGAAGCCCTCATTCTTGGTCCTCTGGGCCTCCTGATTGCTGCCTAAAGCACATGAAAAAACATGTTAGCATGATTACAGGAATATCAGTATTGCAATGTACTGTTTTGATGTTTTAGGTGTAATGCTGCTAAATGCTAACCTTTGTTTCCCGCTTTCACTAGCCGTACAACCAGTGTTAGGTCCTCGTCCAAGTAATACATGGTCTTGTCTGATGCATCTTGGTATAACACACCACTGAAGGGTATGGTCCTCTGAGGATCCTCAAAAAAATCCAAGTTTATCTAGAAACACTGTTAGACACACAAGTAAAGGATAAAAGGTTAAAGCCAGGCATACCCTAACGCATCTACACTTATCGGAATTTTTCAGCTCGAGTCGCAGATCCTGCAATTCGACTAGTCATTTGTTTGCAACGCGGACCAAACAATGGGACATTCTAAAACGCTTAATGTGAAAAAGCTTAATGTGGTTTAATGTACCAAAATAGCGACCAATAATCACCAAATTACTCAGACACATATCTGGTCATAAAGACTTTCAGCTGACAAAAAATCAAAACCGAAATGTTAGGAATATGGACTATATCTTACGTTAAGCGTTTTCCTTATAATAGGTGTCAATGGAGGGGAAACGCTTAACGTAGTATTAAGCTTAACGTGTGAAAAACTTCAGGAATATGGACTCTATACTTCATTATTCTTTTCCGCCACCATTGTCGCTCATTATTCACATTAAAGCGTTTTACAATGTCCCCAAACAAAGTTCTTTAGCATCGCCAGGAGATAAACGACACATAATGCGGTATTTGAAGTATAACATAACCGTAGAGACACACCTATCGACTACAATAACACTGTATGGACTACACAGCTCACAAAATTGACTCAAGCAGGACTAAAGTACATAAACAATGTAAAATATCACAGCACTACTTACGATCTTTGCACTGAGCAGCCATCTTGAAATCTGAACTCGGGATCCTTTGCATTATCCGAGATCATTCTCGGATCTCCGAGAAACGGGAGCGCGCATATCATCACTTCCGGCTTCGAAACTCGGAATCCAACTCGGAATCCGAGTTCCCAGGGCAAATGGAACGCACCAAAAGACTAACATAAAGAACGGGATGACCAGCAACACCTGCTGGTCAAACGGGGAAGGGACACGGAAGGACCACAGCAGGGACTGACCCTGACAGTACCCCCCACCTAACGCGCGGACACCGGACGCGCGCAAGGGCACTGCCAGGGCCACAGAGAACGGGCAGACAGGACTAAGACATAGAACTGGACAGGGAAACAACTTAATGAAAACTAAGGAACTGGACAGACAGAACCAAGATCTTGGACAAGAGGGGAACAAAAACAGATAGGGCAGAGATCAGGAGCTGGGACAAGACGACTAGACGAGGGAACACAGCAGGGGGCAGAACTTGAGGACCAGGAACAAAAAGACGCAGGAACGGACATGGAGACGGAGGAACAGAACCTGGGGCATGAGGTGGAAAACAAAAAGGTGCAGGGGAACCAGAAGGGAAAGGAACAAAAGGAGCAGGGCGAGGGAAAGGACCAGGGACATGAGACTGGGAATGAAATGGGGTAGATGAACTGAAAGGGAAGGGCAGAAATGGGACTTTTTGGGGCAGCTGGTGAGGAAACAGAAAAGGGAAATGTTGGGTAGGATGTGGGCTTTGTGGCTGATTGGAGGGCGAGGAGGTACGGACTGCAGGACGGGGACAGGAACTGGAGGACGATGATGACAGGACTGCAGGACTGGGAAATGACGAGGAGGGGTCTGTAGGATGGGAACTGGGGAGCAATGAGGAAGACACTACAGGATGGGAACTGGAAGGGGACAAGGAAGGGAGTGCAGGACTGGAGGGTGATGAGGTGACCGCAGGACTGGGACAGGAACTGGGACTTGAGGGCGACAAGGAAGGGACTGGGTCTGGGCGGTTGGACCGCCTAGTGTGTCCCCGTCTCCCCTTTTGGGAGACAGAGAACCGGCCTGGCCCTCTGCTGGACCTCCACCAGCGCCATGAAAGGTCCGCTTGGGTGGAGGTAGGAGTCTGGAATTTGGGGCTTGGGGCCAGGACAGTGTTGGGCGGAGATGCAGGGGCAAAGTCAAAAGGCATGATCCCCTGTGGGCCGGGTGTGGGCGGCCGGGAGAGAGCAGAGGCGGCGGCCCCCTGTGGGCCGGGCGCAGGCGGCTGGGAGAGAGCAGAGGCTGCGGCGGCCCCCTGTGGGCCGGGCGCAGGCGGCTGGGAGAGAGCAGAGGCTGGGGCGGCCCCCTGTGGGCTGGGCGTGGGCGGCCGGGAGAGAGCAGAGGCTGGGGCGGCCCCCTGTGGGCCGGGCGCAGGCGGCCGGGACAGAGCAGAGGCTGGGGCGGCCCCCTGTGGCCCGGGCGCGGGCGGCCGGGGCATCGCAGAAGCGGAGGCGGCTGCAGCTTCCCCTGGGCAGAACTCGGGCAGACCGGCGGAGGCGGCAGCTTATTCCCTGGAACCTGAGTCAGGTTCCTCAGGCGACCCTGCCAGGTCCACCAGGTACCAAGAACCCGCTCCATTCTACAGACCTCCTCCTTTGGAGATGCAGGAGAGAGCTGGAGCAATTGGTTGCCAGCTTCAGTAAGGGCTTGGCACAACCATGGTGACTGGAGGACTGTTGGAGTCTGGGATAGCCGTTTCCAGATGGCCTGAAGAGAACGGAGCTCCTCCACACAAGCCTGGACGTCATCCAGAACGTCAGGGGGGGCAGGTGTCCCGGAACCTGGGGATCGTCCTTTTTGGTGGTTCATTCTGTCATGATACGGGCGGCTCGGGCACGGGAGCGTGGCATAGTGCAGGCACAAAAAGGGCGGACGACCCACTTGCGGCTCAGAGACAAACTAACAGGGTTTATTAAATAAAACAGAAAAAAAACTACAAAACCAAAAAGGAAGAGAATTAAACAATACTAAATAACAAAAACTGAATACACATTGACACTGAAAATAGCAAAACCATTACAACACATACAGAACACAATGAACCACAGAGGAACTAAACAGAAGCAGGAACTAAAATACTAAAGGGGTAACGAGACTAACACAGGACAGGTGAGACTAATTAACAAAGACCAGGGAAACAGGGCACAGGTGAAACTAATAAACTCAAAGGAACTAAAAGACAGGGAAACTAAGAACTAACCAAGGAAACATAAACCAACACTAGGGAACTAAACAGGTAAAGACACAAGAAGGGGCACAAGGAACAAAACCAACTACAAAATCAGATACAAGGACTAAAAAATTCTCAAATGAAACACTAGGGAGTAAAATACAAAAACAGAGGAGGCGGGATTCGAACACAGGACAGAAGGGTACACAAACAACCACATGCTCAACACATTGAGCCACATGACCAGACAGGCAACAGGGGAGAACAAAGACTAACATAAAGAACGGGATGACCAGCAACACCTGCTGGTCAAACGGGGAAGGGACATGGAAGGACCACAGCAGGGACTGACCCTGACACCTACAACTCGATCTGAATCTCAGAAGTCAAACAGTGAACATGCGGGGAAATGAGTCAAGCGGCACGTCTCTCAGCGGAAACAAATGATAACGCTTCAGTCTCAGCCTCGCATTTGCTGTTAGAGCATCGTGCATGTTTAGACTAGCTGAATACATATATTTAGACAGTAAAAATACATTTAGACAATGATAGTAACAGTAATTATTATTATATAATAAAATTAGTGCTGGGCAAGTTAACGCGTTATTATCGCGTTAACGCAGTACTTTATTAATGCAGACAATTATTTTATCGCGAATTAATGCAATTTTTAATATTAGTAGTAGTATTATTTTGAAAGTCCGTTGCTCACTGGTGTTACGCTCCAGTCTAGGGTTGGAGCCTAACAAAGTGAAAGGGAGGTGAGGTTTTTCACAGACACTTTACAAACACTAGGTGTAACGAACGTCAGGAGTGATAGAGGCCAAAGAAACAAACAAAAACACATCTACCGAATATAACCCCAAGCTAAGCTAATCCTAAGTGAACACAAGGTGAAACGAAACAATGCCTAACCTCCCTAACCAAACAAACAGTAATCCCCACGTTGGCGAAGAAACAAAAAGGCAGACACTCCTTACACACAACTAGTGAAACACGCAAACACACAGCCGAAGCGATGGTATCCAGAGGGGAGATCAAAGAGGCGAAGTCAGAGTACAATCGAAAGTTCATAACCAAGCAGACAGTCAAAACCAGAGCGAATGTACAATAAGGGATGAGGCGAAAATCGGAAATCAAGAACCAAAACAGTCAAACCAAAGGAAAAGCGAATCAAGAGCGCGCTAGCAGGCGAGAAGCAAGCAGCGGGCAGACGATGTGACGGAGCTGCAGGCTCTTCAGCCGACGAACCGGAAACTGCTCCGAAGGCTAGGGAGGCGGGGCCATGTCCAGAAGGCGGAGTCGAGGCAGCGGTTGACCAATGGGCGAGTGGGCAAGATGTCCTGTAGGCTGAACTTACGGCACGTAACACTTACAGCACGTAACACTGGCTCTGAATACACCTACAAACCATGGGTCACAGGAGGGGAGGGATGTTGATCAGTACTTGCTTGGGATGGGCTTCATCACGCGTTTCAATCAATGAGAGCATTTGGGGTGGGGCTAAGACTGCTGCAGCGCTCACGTGAACCGCTGCAAGAAAAAAATGGAGAAAGGTACTGAAATCTTACATGGCCATTTTTGTTTAAAATCTCTTCCAGACGGTGGAGTTGATAGAACCAAAGTTATTTGTAACCACTGCAAAGGTGAATTTTCTTATCATCGGAGTACTTCGAGTCTTAAGTATCACTTAAATGCAATACACACCATTGATGCCAGCAAATCACCCACCCAAACAAAAAGTGGAGGGAGGCTTCAGCAGACTACGTTGGATGCAGCGTGTGGGAGAAGTATAGATAAACAAAAGCAAGACAAGCTAACAAATGCCATAGCGAAGTGGATAGCTACAAACTGCAGGCCGATTAGTATTGTGGAAGATGTCGGTCTGAGGAACGTTCTTAGGATTGGAACGAATGACGGCACGTATGAGCCTCCCTCAAGACGCACCGTCGCAAGAAGAATACATGAGTTGTATGAAACGGAGAGGACTACAAAAGCGACGGCGTTACAACGTGCACTAACTGTTGCTCTCACTGGAGACTACTGGACTTCGCTAGGTAACGATAATTACCTTGGTGTCACAGTGCATTATATTGATGAACAGTGGGAGCTGCATTCACATGCTCTTACTGTACTAAAAATAGAAGAGAGACATTTTGCTGAAACGTGCGCACAACATTTTATCCATGTTGCACAGCAGTGGAACATTTCAAATAAAGTCAGCACACTTAGTACAGATAGCGCAAGAAATATGATCGCTGCTGCAAGACATCTGCCTTTTGAACACATCCCCTGTGTTGCGCACAGTCTCCAGCGTTCTGTCACAGTCTCTCTGAAGAACATTGCGTTTGACAACATCCTGGCCTAATGCAGAAAAGTTGTGGGCCTCTTTAAACACAGTCCAGCAAGTGCTGCAGAATTAGAACATCAGCAAATTGAACATGGACAAAAGAAGGAGACGCTTATTCAAGACATTGCAACCAGATGGAATTTGACTCTGAACATGATAAAAAGCGTCCGCAGAAATGAACAGCCACTGAGGGATGTCCTCACCACACACAACACAAAGCTTGCCATGCCAACTCGAGCTGAAATGGACAAACTGCAGAAGTTGGAAATGCTCCTGGAGCCCTGCAGGTATATTTCACATCATACAGTATATTACTCACTATCCTATCTGAGTGTGTGTGTGTGTGTGCGTGTGTGTTTGTAAATATAGCATGAATATGTAGAGACATTTTTTGTGTAAATAAGTAAGTGAATGCATACATTTAGACTGAAAGCGGTTTGAATTATAAAAATCTATAGAATAAAAGAGTAAAATGTAAACTGTAAATAAATGTACTTATGTCGAGCGTTGCATCCTCTCCGCGCAAAAAAGCGTCCTCCTCCATCGAATCAATGGATAAAAGCGACACTTTCTCCCCCGAACCACTCTTCAAAATCATCTTCTGTGCTTTCTCAACAGTGAAAGTCATCCGAGCCATTTTTCTTCAGTCAAAAAAGTTGTTGTCCGAAAATAACTGGGTAAACTCACGGAGACTACGTGCGCAATGCGTACTCGAGACACTCCCACAAATACTGCACCTGCAGAGAATAAGTTGCGCATTCATGTCCCCAGCGCGAAAAACAATGCCCAATCAGCACATCCCATACCATTTTGCAAACCTTAGACACACCTCTATTGGATGAAGCAAATGACACTGTAATTTGATGTTCATGTAAAAAGTTTATTATGGTGAAACATAACCATGGGCAAAGGTTCAGTGCGTAAAAAATAATGTGCTAGCAGGGAAGCAGAGCATATATCTGAAAAAATACTTGACAATGAAGGATTACAGTGATTGATTTATGTACATAAGAGATCAAGCTTTCAAACGAGGGTAACTTTGTCATTTTATTCATTCGTTTTCTTCTAAAACTCCGAAGATAAAAAACATTGCACGAATGTACAGAATGCCGACTGACATTTTTCCGCGATGAGTGAGCAAGCTATTTGAGAACATTACAGTCATATTTATGGAAAAATGCGTGTTTTGTCTTAATACTGTGACTATTTATGAAGTATTGGCCATGAAAGAAATAGTTTGAAGTGCTTAGTTTTCATTTTATTAACACTTATATTTTACTTCCTGACACTCGACCCGTTTAAAGATGGCTACCATGGTCATTTTATTTTTACTTGTTACAAAAAAACCATGGCACAAAAATTGCGCAACTTTATACAGATATTATCTGAAAGGTTTTTTGTAGTGTAACAAGCCGTTTTTGGTTGATTTGATACATTTGTTTCTTTTATTGAACGTCATTTTTTTTTGTTATTTAAAATTTGGACGTATGCGTCCGAACCACTAGGCGGCGACAGTGAAAGAGTTAAAGCTGGCCCTCTAGCTTGTATGTTGGACATCTCTGGGACCACGGTTCTCAAAGCTGACCCTTCAATCAGTTGTGAACCACATAATCTCACTGAGATTGCACAGGTGGTGAATCAGCTGAGGATAGCGAAGGCGACAGGGATCTGTGGTATCCAGGGTGAACTTCTCCAGGCTGGTGGTACGGCTGTCCTCATGGCATTGCAGGCAATCTTTGATTCCATTTTGGAGTCAGTCACCATCCCAATTGACTGGAAAATGGGACTTGTAGTCCCTATCTGGAAAGGGAAGGGTGATCGCTTGGACTGCAGCAACTACAGGGGGATAACACTGCTTTCAGTGTTAAGGTCATCCTTAACAGGATCTGTGATCACTTGCTTATCTGTCAGCAACCAGAGCAGTCTGGTTTTACGCCTAAGAAGTCTACCATCGACCGTAATCTTGCACTGAGGGTTTTCATTGAGCGCAAGTGCGAATATTGGCAGAGGTTCTTTGCAGCTTTTGTCAATTTTTGAAAAGTATTCCACTCAGTTGATGCCCTGCGAGACATCCTGAGACTTCGCAGGATCCCCTCGAAGTTGCTGGACATCATGGCCGGTCTATACACTGGTACTGTGAGTGCTGTGCAGAGTGGAGGGAGAACCTCTGCATTCTTTCCATTTGATTCTGGGGTTCACTAGGGGTATGTTCTTGCTCCTACTCTGTATAATGCTTGTATGGACTGGGTGCTGGGCAGGGTCATGGGATCCAACAGCTGTGGGGCGTCCATTGGTGAAGAAAGATTTACTGATCTTGACTTTGTCATCTTAGCAGAGTCAATGGAGGCTCTGATCAGGGCTCTCGAGAGACTGAGTGAGGAGTCTGAGTGTATAGGATTGCAGGTGTCCTGCATAAAGACCAAGATCCAGGCATTTAAATACTTCTTGGGCACAGCCATCAGCAGTGTGTCTTTTTGTGGGGAGAATGTTGACCTTGTCGAGTGATTTACCTACCTTGGCAGTGACATTCATGTCTCTGGTAACTCTTCCTGTGAAGTCAGCAGATGGATTGGAAGAGCATGGGGGGTCAGGAGGTCACTGGAAAGGGGTGTATAGCGTTCCCAATATCTTTGCAAGAGGATGAAGATCCAAGTCTTTAGAGTCCTGCTGCTCCCTGTCTTGCTGTATGGCTGCGAGACATGGACACTATCTAGTGAGCTGAGATGAAGACTGTACTCCTTCGGTACAGTGTCTCTTTGGNCTGCAGACATCAAGATGTCAGAATCTTTTAAGCACTTGTCCTTATTCTTATTAATGCACAATTTGATGTGCAGTTTGTATTGGTATATAGTATTTGCAGTTTGCATTTGATTCATGTGACGTGTGCGCATGTCTTTGTATTGTTTGATTACAGTATTTTACTTAAAATGGTGTTGTTTGACTAAATAAATGTGACCATTGACTTTTACATCTCCATATCACATTGTGTTGACTTAACAGGCCTAATCCATTTCAGGGAAGTTGATATACAGTGTCATTTTGCTAGTACTACTACAATGGGACATTATGCAATTTCAAGTTTATAATTGTGTATCTGTATTTCATGTTACAATTTTATCTACAAATTAAGTATAACTGAAATATTTCCCATCCTTTAGACAGTCAGTCCTCAACAGCACACAAAAGTTAAGGAAGTCTTTTTTTCGGTCTCGGTCTTGGTCTCGTCTCGACTTTGTCTTGGTTTTGACTCAGTCTGTCTTGGTCTTAGGCTTGGTCTTGTCTTAGTCTCGATACCCTCTGGTCTTGGTAGTGTCTTGGTCTTGGTTTAGGCGGTCTTGACTACAAGTCTACTGAGACTGAAGCGTTACCCTTTGTTTCCGCTGAGAGACGTGCTGCGTGACTCATTTCCCCGCGCATACAAGTTATCTTAGGTCGGCGTTCATGGTTTGACTTCTGAGATTCAGATCGACAGATCTGACAAAAACAACGGTCCTAAAATTTTGGAGAAGACGGCAATTAAGTTTGCAGCGCCTAATTCGCTATTTAAGTAATAAAAATAGTAGCATATTGACAATTCCCTCGTATGTTACGAACAATACCTCTTAAGAAGACGTGGATAACATTATAGATTATATGCATCAATACAGACGTCTAAAACAGCTAACTTACCTGTTTCCGTTTCAATACACCATGCATACGGAACTGTAGGACGCTAAAACAAAATTTTTTTACATTTTAAACATATGTTACTCATTTTATATATTAACCATATGGAGTGCACCAGGGGCCCCTTGCATGGGGGGCATTTCTTCCCTCTTTGGAATAATTACCTTATAACTTCAGATATAAAAGTCACAGACACATGCCTGATACCTAAAATCAAAGTTGACCCCTTTACAATTGATTGTAGGAAGTTCAATAACGAAATGAATAACCTGTGTATAATTTATGGACATGCGAATATAACAAAAACAGCTGGAAAAATACAAAAGCCTGTCTTTGTGTCTTGGATTTTTGTAAATATTTCAAAAACTACATGATGGAATAGGTCCAATTTTAAAAATCTGGTTCCCAAACTTGTTTTCTACAT